ATCTGTTCACCTCCTGCAGCACCTCCCTACGTTGTGCTCGGAAGCTAGAACTGCAAGAGAGCAACAAATGCCCCTTCCCCCTTCTTCTCAGGGAGTGGGAAGCTGATGCCTTGGCATTCCTGGCCCCCTGCTCACCCAAAAAAAGGGAGCTTGGGGCTCTGCTGTGGCCTCCGACAAGGTACTGGCAGAACAGATAGCATGACTGACAAACAGCCGAAATACCTGTTTTATTCTCCAGACCTTTATTGCTCTTGAGTCACATCATCATTTCTCAAATCTTAAAAACTCTTGGCTCGTGCAGAGGGCAGCCCAAATCTGCAAGGAGGACCTTTGGGCTGTGCCATTGACTGTACTTTGATCAGCCACCTGGCTGTACTTTGATCTTCTGCTGCAGGGGTCATCAGCTTTGCAGGTTTCTCCCTGGGTCTCTGTAAACACTTGCGAATCTCTCGTCTCACCAGCCAGCAGCAGCCCTGTGGATGCTGGGCAGACCCATGGCAAGGGGAAGAGGGTGCAGGGGAGGCAGAGAGGTCTCCTGATGCTTCTTTGCAAAACCTTTCTCTTCTCACTTTCCTTGCTCCTGCTGCACCTTTCTGACACCTGATTTTTGGAGCTTGTGGATTTTCATACCCAGTTAGTTTTTATTTGTGTTACTAGTTAGATCTCGGCCCCGGAGAGCTTCCAGTTGCTGTCAGGTTTGTGCCAGGCAGGGTCACCACTCGCAGTTGCCTCTGTCCGTGTGTATGGTTTCACTGTCATAGTCCCCAGCCCTCCCTTCCACATGTGTGCTCCTATCCACACATATATATACACTGTCTCTCTTGCGGAGACCTATAGATATCCCTGACAGTCTTTTCTGATTCCCACCCCCCGTTTTCCTGTCAACAGTCCCCTTGCCCGCCTTGGGCATCACTGGGCGACAAGAGCGAATAATGACAAAACAATGTTTTTGGCTGATGCTGACATCAGTCGTGCCCTCCCGTGCAGCCCAGCTGCCTCTTGGTCTTCATGCTCAAAACACTGAGAAGAGTCCAGTCTGAGTAAGCTTTGAGTGAGGTATTCACCTGTGATAGCTCAGTACCTCCAACTGGTATGGGGGTGTGTTGAGCACAAATTAGAGAGTTCAGTCCCCTGTCCAAGAGGAGGTCTGCTGCAGTATTAAATCTTGGCATAGTTATTAAAGTGAAGTGGTAGAAGAGTACTAAGAGAGCTCCCGTGGCTTTTTGCTTCCTAACCACGTACTGCAAAATGAATCAAATAAATATCATGCTGTTTAATTCTGACTGTAGGTGATGGCTTGACTTTCTTTTATCCCGAAACCGAGCTGTGGCAGAGTGCAGGAGGGTTGCGGGGCTTTCAGTATGGTTGGGAATAAAGTTACATTGCGCCCATGAAGCTACATGTGCAACCTTTGAACAAGGCAGTGTCAGCAAAGGCCAAGGGGTTAGATGGCTGTGGCTACTCTTTAACTTGTCTTTAGACATGTTTTGAAGGAATCATACTAACCTCTCTGCTTACCAGTTGTTACCGCTGATCTGTCAAAATATACCTCCAGTCATTATTTGAGACACTTTGGGAAAATGAGAAATGTCATAATTCGGTATAGGTATACACACAATGCAACCTTGTTACTTGAAATAATGTTTATAGTTCTTTCCCGGGGGGCGGGGAAGTGTAATTTCAAGACACACAGTTGCAGGTGACTGTTTCCTTGATTCAGCCCCAGGTCAAAATGGGGTTGTCACTATATTTACAGCCCCTACCTTAACCTTTTAATTTAGCTCTATTCTTTTCCTTTTTCTTCCTATAGATTGCACTAATGCTTTAAAACTTTGATCTCCTGGAGAAATGCTTCACAGCATTACTTAGCATTCAAACCAGCCGAGATCTTCTTGTTGGGATGGGTTTTATTCTTTTTCCTTAGGGCGCTGTTTACCTGGAGGTGACTTTTGTTTTATTCTTCAGTTCCGAATACCTCATCTCATTCTCTCCTAGCACTGATCTTCTACTGTAAGGATGTCACTGGGACAGGGATGAGGGGCTTGATAGTGCATGAGTATACAAGTCCTGGACAAGGATATGTGGTCAAAAAAGTGATCTTGATCCCAATCACATTCACATCAGTAGAAACTGGTTTACCTTTAGCACTGTAAGTGGAGAGAGATGGTTGTAGGTGACAGCTGAATGAGGTCAGAGAACTTCACCAGTCGGTTCACTGACATCCAAAATGCGGAGGGCAGAGCTTCTATGCAGAGATACTGATTTACATCTGCAGAAGGAGTACTTCCACCCTGTTTTTAAACATAAGCCTTACCTTCTGATTTTCCTGGCACTGGGGCTTTTTCTCATAATACTGCAGTATTGTTATACCTGGGGGTTTTTTGATAGATTTGCAGATACAGCAGATCAGAGTTGCGTCTTGTAATGTCTGAGCTCAGGTTTGGCTTGGGCAGTGCGTAACTGAAGATTTTGTATGGATACTTCTGTGCAAAATAGAAAACTGCAGGGTTGCTTGTGGCTGAAAACTGGACCTGATGGCTTCAGTGATTCCTTCCTGAGTTCCTATAACTAATTTCTAATCTGGCCTTTGTCTCTTAATGTTTTTCAGCCAGGAATTGCCTAGCATCGTGGATAGCTCTCTTCCATTTTTCTCTCTCAGCTGCACGCTAGTCTTTCAGTGACCCTTTCTGACAGTCTTCCTTTGTGCCTGCCTGTACCGTAGGGATGTGGAGATAGTAATGGGAAGGAGAGGATAAAGAAGATGAAACCTCTACTCATTTTCTTCCACTTTCCCTCGGTGCGGCTTGTGTGCGGGTGGGTGGTGAATGCATAGCCCCTTCTGCGGCAGTGTTAGGCTCCCTCTGCACACGGAGTATCTGTTAACGTCGTGTAATACGGCGCTGGGGCAGAGCAGGCGCTGCATGGACCCGTGCTGGCTTCATGCTGGCAGGGTCTCTCCCAGCAGTGGCCTCTGTGCCACGTTCAGGCAAAGCATCCCAAAAGTGCCGTTTGGGTGGCTGGCACATGCCATTTCCCCCTGCAGCCGTTGCCTGTGTTTCACAAGCTCCTGCCTTCGTAACTGCAGCCCCTGCTCCCTCCTGAGTCAGGGTTGTCACTGCGTGTTTGTTGAAGCGCCTTGTGAGCCAAAATCCACTGCTGTTACAAAATCAGCAGCAGGGCCAGTTCTGCCAATGTCGGTGATATCAGTCATTAGCATCTGAAGGGATGACGTGTATTTTATTTTCCCTATTCAAATACTGCCAGAAGCAGGGTATGGGACAGTGTGGTCCAGAGGGCTGTCCTGCATTGCAAACCCCGTGTCTATGCCTGCCTTCTCTTCTTGAACTACGTTATTTCTGTTTTACTGACGTCACCCATCGATTAGCGTGTTGCAACCTATTTGCTGTGATCCAGAGAGAAGAACAAGAAATAATTGTATGGAAAGGAAGAAGTCGTCCGACAGCTGTGGTCCTCAGGTGTTAACTCTATTTTGGGAATAACATTGCAGTAAGAGAAGATCAAAGGTCACCATGCAAATATTTTGGGGTTTTTTAATTGTATTCTCTGGATGCAAATTCAGGCTGACACTTCTTCAAATACAGCAAGGAAGGCAATGTAGAAAGTTGTAAAAAAGTCACCCCTTCATATTTATCATGTGTTGGAGTGACCAAAATCAAACAAAGCTAAATAACTCACTGTGAAAGTAAATACAGCTATCTTTTTTTGCATAGCTATAAGAAATAAGTGGGGAAATGCAAAGAATCCATTTATAATGAATAGTTTAGAACAAGGTTAGTAACAATTTGCCTTTAATTCAGTGCATTAACAGATTGTTTTCTGTGGTGTTCAGCGGTCCTGGGTCTAAACAGAGCCTTTTGTCTCGGGTGAAGTTTTCATCAGTGAGAAGGCTTTATGTTTCAGAGGGCCGTGTTCAACAAGCTGCTCGTGTAACCAGGCAAACAGTTAATTTGACTGAAAATGATGCCGTTCCTTTTTGTTGTGCGCAAATGTGGGTGTTTCAGTATAGTTACTCGGTTGCTCATTCATGCACAGGCATAAGTTCAGGAGCCTGTGGAAATGCATCCGTTTAAACATATTTTTTCTTTCCCCCACCTTTCACGCAGACTTAGCGGTTGAGCCAAATAGCTAAAAATCCTCAGGGGTTTAAAGGATTAAATGAGAACAATTGTTAAGGTGCAGGAAGGGCTGAAAAGTCCTGAAAATACGACAGGAGGTAGATGCTGAAAGACCTGCTTAGTGAACTACAGCCTCCCTTGTTACGGGTATAAATATAACTGTAAGCGGCAGACTGGTGGGTTGGTAGGGATTTTATAGCTGGGGGGAAAAAAAAGGGAGATGTAGTGATGGCTGACCTGAAGGTTTGCCGCTGGGCAGTTTGGTGAAGCCAGTGGGACGATGCTTTCTTTTTAAGGGTCACAAATTTGTTTATCCTGCCAGATTACAAGGTCAGCGCTAGTTTTCATTCCCCCTTAGCTGGACTCTTGTTCGCACTGGTTCCTGTAAGTAACCTGCTCCTTCACATTTTTCTGTTTGTCTCAGGTACTGAAAGGTTCAGGCCGGAGGTTTTCCTGCGCTCTCCATAGCCGCCGCCCGGCGCTGCCCTGAGGAGAAGAAGCGGCGGGAAGGCGGGTGCTGCCCCTTGGCTGCGGGGGGTGGGGGTGAGGCTCCTCACCAGGGCCGCTGTGCCTCCCTG